GGGGGGAGCTCATTTCTGTTCCCATTAAAGTCAATAGCAAAACTTCTACCATGGTGAGCAGAAGTTATAGATGTGTAAGGTTAAATAGAACACTTGCATGCATGTGCATCCTCTTTCCCCCAACTTCCTGTGAACTTTATCTTCCTGTTAGCTTTACATAAATAAGAATAGTTCAAGAAAAATAATGGAAATGCAATCTACAATTAAAATGACCTGTAACGTAGTACAAACAGTCCATGCCTCCAAAATCTTAGCTATGTGACCATCTTAAGCCCCTGTTACTGAAGACAGCTGCAGTCATAAGGGCCATCAATGAAATGAATAAATACATTGTTTAGTACACATGGAAAGAAGACAATTCTTTAAACATTTGTTTAAAGGAAAGACACACACACACACCAGTCCCACCTCTGTTGCTGCTTTGCTTGGTGACTTTGGGGCAAATCTTGTTCCCTTTCTGTGCCTCAGTTTCCCCCCGAGTTTAAATTAGGGTAAATGAGACTGACTTTGTGAAGATCAAATAGCAATAAGAGGAAGGTATTATTAGGATTAAGTTACCCCATAAGAGGTCAAAACAGGGCCCAGAAGGTTCCCGAGTGGTAGTGGACTTTGGGCCAATGTGGGCTGAGTTTCACATTCCTCAGGCACCTGAAAACGAGGTGAATTTCATTCAGTTTTGTGGTGAATATGTTAATTTCTCTCTCTCTTACAGTTCTCCTCCCCTGCCTTGCCTCTGTGGTTCAGGTGTGTGCATAGGGCACTCTGGTGAAAAACAAGATGGAGTCCCCAGGCCCAGTCCTGGAAGTATCTATCACATGGAGCTTCCAGGGACTGCCACAGGAATTCTGCTGATAGGGTGAAATCCACCGCAAACAAAGCACCAGCATGAGTCCTAGGCCCCTCAGGTCATAGCTTACCCCCCCTCCCCACACACACTTGGAGGATTGGGTCCAGTTTCTTTCTCTTCCAATCCCCATGATATTTATCCAATTTTCTTTTTGAATCTGCATTTCGTCTCTTCATTGCAGTATATCCAGCTCCTCTCCCTAGCTCTAATAATGATCCTTTCCACTCAAAGAAAGAAAGATGTCCCCCTCAGCAGTTATTGTGTGCGTGTGATTGGCATGCTTGAACAATTTGGTGAAAAGAATTTCATGGGGTTCAGTGGAAGTTTCCACTTCTTTACAGATGCACAGAGAAGATTAATGTGATTTCAGCCCCATTCCATTGTCACCGTGACTTAGAGTCGGTTTGTTTCTTTCATAAAGGTTGCCCTAGTTAAATACAAGCAAACAAACTCCCCCCCCCACACACACAATACAATGTACAAAACAAACACATTAAACTACCCTATTGTTTTCCAGAAAAAAAACCCTTCACTTTTCAAGGCAACATTTTTACACTCTAAAATTGCACTGACTGAAAAAAAATTGCTTTAATTGTGTTCTAGATACTAGATTTATAATCCTACAGCCATCCACCTTCACATTTCTATTACCTATCGCTGTCTGGCAGCAAAACAGCCAGGCATTACCTACCACTCGTACTCTGTGTATGTGTGTTTGCTGCTCCCAGCACCACAGAGGGAATGTTACATCCCCAAATTGTTTTAATTGAAACCTTTTCCTCCTCTAGGAGAGGGACTGAAAGAGTCCAAACTTCCCTACCTTAACAGTGAATACTTGAGCTTTCGGCATAAATTATTACTTACACCCATGGATAAAAAAAAAAAAATCAGTCTTCAAATGAAGGGGAGAAATGGTTCTGTGTTTTGAAGGAAACTGAAGTTAAATGAAGTTATTAAGTCAATGTTTAATTGATCCAATTGCAGTATGAGCACGTGGATGAGGATGGTTTGCATGCAAGAGAGATGTGGGAGGAGGGAGAAAGGACAAATCCACCTTGAGACAAATAGCTAGGATTGTAATAAAGTCTAATCTGGTAAACCAAGGCAAAATCAGGGGGACCCTTCTACTTTCATGCCCCCGAGAAAAGCTAAAATGTTCCCTTTCCACCTCACCTGCTGTTCCAGTGAAAAATGCCAGCCTCCCTTTCTGTGAGATTTCTTTTATCAGAGCACATGATAATACAGTTCCCGACCCCAGGGACTAGAAACTTCCCCAGGGGTGTCCCGTTGTCTACATAATGTCTCAGACACAGTCGGGACAGTAGAAACAGCCACCATAAGTGCTAGTGAGAGAGAACACATCCCTCCCAGGGTAAAATCCTAGCCCCATTGACTTCACTGGAGCTAGGATTTAAGAACATAAAAACAGCCGTACTGGGTCAGACCTGTGGTCCCTCTGACCCTGTGGCCAGTGCCAGATGCTTCAGAGGGAATGAAAAGAATAGGACAATTGCTGAGTGAGCCATTAGATCAGTAGTTGCAGACGCAGACAATTGCTGAGTGAACCATTAGATCAGTAGTTGCAGACGCAGAAGTGGGTTGCGGAATGTCAGGCAGTTGGTTGCCTCGCTTCAGGGTGACCGGGTGACCAGCAGGAAGGTGGGGGAGCTAAGTCAGGATCCCTGCCTCTCCTGGCACCGTGGAGCGTGCTGCCCACCTGCAACCGGTCCAGCTCCTAGGCAGGGCAGCCACAGGGCTCTGCTGCCCCCGCCCTGAGCACCAGCTCAGCCAATGGGAGCTGGGGGGCAGTGCCTGGGGTAAGAGCTGCTATTTGCATGCCTCTGCCTGGGAGCTGGACTTGCTGCTGGCTGCTTCTAGGGCTCCGTGCTGCCTGCTGGTTTAGCTGGAGAATCTCATATGCTCTATGCTGACCATTGCTTTGTTATGAGCATACACAGCACCTTGCACAACGGGGTCCACCACTAGAGCTTCTCGGCACTTAGGTAATGCAAGTCATCAACAATGCTAATACAGTTCTCATACGTGCTAGTGAAGGAGAGCTGCCTATGACGGGGGGGACCCACATAAAAAGTCATGTGGGTCCTGACCCAGGAGGCCAATAATCCAGTGAGAACAACCCTAAAGAAGCAAATAAAATCGCAGCACAGCCCCTGAGTTCCAGGAGTGGCAATTCCCTCCCCTCCTGGACTGTTAATGTACTTGCCTGTATCTCCTTAGCATCTGTTCTCCTGGCACTTAGCCTCTTTGGGGAACAAACATGGGAAGTATCTACTTGGAGCAGACAACTTTCTCTACGGTTCTTTGCAGTGGTATATCTGGGTCAGTCCCAGGATACAAGAGGGTCAAGGTGGCTGAGGACATGTCTCTTATTGGGCTAACTTCTGCTGGTGGAAGAGACAAGCTTGGAAGCTTCTCAGAATTGTTCTTCAGGCCTTGCTCATAGGTTCTTCCCTGTTCTGTGTCCTGTTGGGAGTTGTTTGGCAATGTGCCCCAGGAGCCAAGATTCCTCTTGCAAAAGACAAAATGAGCCAATTTAACAGAGGAACTAGAGTTTACCAGCTGCTTTGATCGGATGACTCCTCCTTTGCTGGCATTTCCCAGAGCACTGGGGAAGACTCACTGTCCACAGCAGGTTTCCAGCTCTCAGATAAAGACTGTTAAAGAAAATAAATCAGACCCAGAAACAAGACTTATTGATTAACTAGAAGATGTGTCAGGATTGGAAATAAGGATCCCAGCCATCATATACCGGTAGTCTGATCTGTTGACCTAGATTTTATTTGGAGCAATCAGAGAGAGGGCTGTGTTGCCTTGAAAGTCCCAAAACTGACGGGCTTAGATTTGAGCTCTTGGTCTCATTGGCCTGGTGCAGAGAAGGCTCCATCTTTGAAGCATGGAGCTCAACTTCCACAAAGTTTGTGGTGATCACATCTTGGGCTTTGGCTTTGACCCATGTCTAGATACATGAAGACATCTAAAGTTGGCAACAGCTACCAGCCATTGAGACTGTTCATTATCCCTCAGATTCCAAACTGGAATCCTGCTACTTTCCTGAATTAAAGGGAAACACTTTCCAGTAGCCACACTCTGCCTCTAATCTCCCTGGAGCCATGGTGTATGCAAAAGAAGTTGTCACCTGTAACAGAGTGGGACTTCATCAGCTTTTTGTCCTTCTGGGACATGCTACATATAACCCTAGTATTTTGTCCTAGATTATGTGACTTGCTTCCCTGTCCCTGTACCATGCATCCAAGCCATAAACATGCCTGCCCACTCTCTCATCAGACCCCTTCAGATACCAGGGAGTTAAAAGATGCACGAATATGAATGTCATGGATCAAAGGTTCTTCAATAAGTCTCAACACCTGACTGGAACGTAATATCTCCCAGAAACAAGCAATATCAAACAGGTAGGCATTACCAATGATTGTGCCACCTTTGAACAATTCATGTCGATACAGCTTATAAAAAATACATACACCTGCTTTCTGTAGGGAAGTTCACACAACCCTTCACCTTTCTTTCCAGCCAATGAGGATGTGCCAGCCCCTCTGTTTTTTGTTCCTCGAGGTTCTTGTCTGAACTTGAGAAGACACAAAAAGGGAACAAAATTACAGCCTGACACATTGTGCAAGGCTTGACTGGCAAGCATAGGGATCATACTGGAAGCTGTTGTTGACTTAACAGGGCTGTCTCCTGACTCATAGTTTCGTTGGCACTGCTGGCTATATGCTATTACAGCATGATCTTGATCTTGGCTGGAATTTCACCCCCCATAAAAGAACAGACCCAAAGCCTTAAAAGAAGCTGGAGTTGGAAAGGCATAACTTATGCAAACCATAGGGATCAGTGGATTTGCAACACTTATGGATTTAGTGTGGTTCAGATAATGGGCATGTCTGGGTCTAAACAGATTGAAGCAGCAGAAACATGGCTGCTGAGGGTGTGTGGACTTCGGGTGGTGTGACAGGATGAACCAGGCCCCAAAGCCCCCTGCTGGAGGCTTGTGGCCTTGTCAAAACCCACCCAGCAAACCATAGACAAGTCCTCCAGGAATGCTAGAGTGGCACGAAGCACATGACCAATCAGGGCCCAGCCATGCTGTTAAAAAGAAGCTGTTGGGTCAGAGTGAGGCATTTCCTCCTTGGAGCTTAAAAGGCTCAGACAGGGCTGGGGAGCTGGGCTGCAGGAGGCCGCCACAGCAAGGAGTACAGACACATGTAGTCAGCCGAAGGCCACTCGTGTGAGGTGAGTGACATCCCATTATAGGCAGTTACTGTTCTGTAGACATTAGTGTGTCTACTGCAAACTGGAGTAATTATCTTCGGAGTGAAGGTTGGACTCCATTCTCTTCTAGATTTATTTAGACTGTAAGTTCCTCAGGGCAGGCACTGTCTATTACTTTACTGGCACAGCACAATGGGGTCTGTTGTAGTTGGCCTCTAATTGCAAATAATAATGCAAATCATAATCAATAGCTACGCAAGTCTGACATCTGTGAGTACCAATAGGTTTTACAAATGAATCTATAGGGATACTAGACCTTCTAGCTGCAGATTCATTTCCAGAAGATTGCTGCCCCATTTATTACACAGATCTCACACAAATAAAGGCAAGTCACTCTCCTCTCCTTTTCCTTCTGCCAAGACAGATCATTTTACTACTACGCATGCCTATTCCTGAACTAGTGTGCGGCTTCTGGCATGGTTTATTCAAAGATCAACATGGCTGGCTTCTATTAATCAACACATTTATGCATACAAGTATATTGAGTGGATCATAGGCCTTATTCTGTGGGGGTACGTCTGTACTTGCTCCCTAGTTCGAACTAGGGATGCAAATGTAGGCGACCGAAATTGCTAATAAAGCGGGGATTTAAATATCCCAAGCTTCATTAGCATGATCTCGCCAACATGTTACTCTGCTCAACAGCTGATTTGAACCAGGAAGTGCACACTGGGACGCGTTAGTTTGAACCAAACCCCTGGATTTGAACTAATGTTACTTACTCATTTTTTGAGGAGTAATATTAGTTTGAATGAAGGAGTTTGGTTCGAACTAACGTGTCCTGGAGTGCACTTTCTGGTTCGAATCCGCTGTTGAGCGGAGTAACGTGTTGGCGAGATCATGCTAATGAAGCGCGGGATATTTAAATCCCCACTTCATTAGCAATTTCGATCGCCTACATTTGCATCCCTAGCTCGAGCTAGGGAGCAAGTGTAAACGTACCCTAAGTTCCCAATGATACAAAGTAAAGCTAACATACACCACAAGTCCTGAACCTGCTGACACCTATCAGCTTAGTTGAATATGCATTCCTTTGGTGCAGCCTCAGATGAACAGTGTTGCTGCTAATCAAAGTAAATCATCTTGGAAAGTGGTTTCTAAGCTGAAGTTGGCATATGTGCAAGAGGCTTGTCTCCTAGGCTAGGAAGCCCTGCAGCGGGCTTCTGGCCTGTTTCCAGCACTCACACTCGATCCCTCCACATTTCTGGTTTATAAAAATCAGGCACAGATGATTAAAATCTGCTTGGGGCTTTTTGAAGCTATTTGAAGCATCCTCTATCGTATTCTTTTCTTCGGAATGAATAACAAACCCAAGCCCATTCAGAAATGCCACACCCACATTTCTGGGATCGAATTTGCTAGGACAATTAGGAATACTTCATTTGCTGCCTTCTGCGTCTTCTGTTACTATGTTCTCATGCTTGGTTGAGGGGCAGTGGAGTCAGTACTTGCTCTTTTCTGTTTACTCCCATCCAGTTAAAACCATCTGATGCAAAGAACTTCCCATGGTAGGGTAATGATAAGCTTTCTCAGGGCTGGCCCACAACATTTTGGCACCTGCAGCAGGGAACTCAAATGACGCCCCCATACCCGCTTGCTTGGGCCAAAACTTTGAAAGGTCTCAATTCTACCTTCTTCCTGTTCTACTCCTCTCATGGTCCTGCTCTGCTACCTACATATACACCAGCAGCAGACAGAATTTTCTACACTCTGGGTCCTAGTGGCCCTAGTGGCACCCCCCCCCTCCCCACAGTCTGCCTCATGGTAAGGCCTCAGTTTGCCTCATGGTAAGGCCAGCCCTGAGCTTTCTTGATCATTTCTGCAAGCAACGCTTCCTAGTCTTCATCCTGAATCTGGCTTACCATAGATGGTCTGGAGATGCCTTCATAAAGATGCTGTAGCATGTACAGGCTGATACTCTCATCTGCACAGAATAATACATCTCTGGGAGCATCCCCACAGTGCTGGATGTAGGAATATGTGCTAGGCTAGGAGGCTCAGGGTATGTCTACACTACCCCCCTAGTTCGAACTAGGGGGGTAGTGTAGACATACCCAGAGAGGCTGGGAGAGGGGAGGGCAACTAAAATGATCAGGGGTTGGGAACAGGTCCCATATGAAGAGAGGCTAAAGAGACTGGGACTTTTCAGCTTAGAAAAGAGGAGATGGAGGGGGGACAGGATAGAGGTCTCTAAAAGCAGGAGTTGGCTGGAGACAGTGCATACAGAAAAGTTCTTCATTAGTTCCCATAAAGAAGGACTAGAGGACACCAAAGGAAAGGAATGGGTATCAGGCTTCAAACTAGTAACAGAAAGTTGTTCTTCACAAAGCAAAGAGTCAACCTGTGGAACTCCTTGCTGCAGGAGGCTGTGAAGGCTAGAACTATAATGAAGCCCGGGAAATTCAAATCCCGGGCTTCATTAGCAAGTTGGGTATGTCTACACTACCCCCCTAGTTCGAACTAGGGGGGTAGTGTAGACATACCCTCAAACACATTCTTTATTAAAAACACAACAAGCTGACTACATTTCCAGCATGCCTCCTTTGTCTGCATTTACTGGGAGCTGCACCTAGGATGAATTTGACCCAGTGCACCCCAAAAGGCTCCAAAACCAGAAGGCAAATAAATAGGGTATGTCTACACTACCCCCCTAGTTCGAACTAGGGGGGTAGTGTAGACATACCCTCAAACACATTCTTTATTAAAAACACAACAAGCTGACTACATTTCCAGCATGCCTCCTTTGTCTGCATTTACTGGGAGCTGCACCTAGGATGAATTTGACCCAGTGCACCCCAAAAGGCTCCAAAACCAGAAGGCAAATAAATAGAGCAACCACATCTATTATTTTTTACATAATCTCATTATTTTAAAGCAAAGCTCGTGCTCTTTGAAAATGTGGAGTTGGCAATTCTGTAAACAGATACAACTTCCCCAAATCTTAACATCACCGTTTTGTTAGGAACCTCAAAGTGGCTTCTTCAGAACAATAGGACACATCCGATCCTATAAATTAGCTAAGGCTTTCAACTCCCACCGATGCCAATGTCCCCAAATGCAGCTGCAGCAACCCCACGGGTCATCTATGCCTGGAGTCAGATTGAGTGGGTCTTACGCCTGGCTCTTCTATAAACCTCCTATATGGCACTGAGTGAGTCACTTAAATTGTCTGTTCTTCATTTTCCTCATTTGTACCAGGGCAGACCCACTTTGAAGAGCTGTTTCATTAATGGATGATATTGACCCCATGGATGGGAGCCAGCCCAATTCTTATGAGTCTTATGGCCCTCCACATGCAGATGAATGTGCTTTGGGGTCCTCAACTGGACAGTGCTGTGTAGCTACAGAACCTCAATACTTGTGACCAGCAAGAAGACGTTTCTTGTTCAAACCCCCTGTGTTATTCTTCTCTATTCTTTGATGGGCTCCTGTCTGTGGTATTTCATCCTAACAGACTTACTCAGTGTTGTCTGGGTCTTCATGTCAGGGCTTAGGAGATGTGGGGGGGAATGCAGGATGTAGGGAACCAGGGGGGCATGTTTTCTACCCCCAAACCACCCCTTCAGCCCACCTGGGACCTGTTCTCCGCCCCCCCCCCCAAGCCACTGCCCCAGGCTACCTGGTACCTGTTCTCTCCCACCCTAGGCCACTCTCCCCAGTTGCCATGGTCCTGTTCTCTCCCCCACCTCCAGTGCTGCGAACAAGGGCTGGGAGGGGGGAAAGGATTTGGGGTAGGGGGGCAAATTACTGGTGTGCTGGCAGGCAAGATGGCGGAGCCCCCATTCCCTTGGTGGTATGGCTGCCCCCAGTGGACACGCTGCGGGATAGCTCTCCACTGCACTCAGTGCTCCCAGTGGCCACTCTCATATTGCATCCCTCCAAACAGCAGCTCCTCCCTTTGCATGCGAAGGAACGCTGTCCCTTTCCTGGGGCTTCCAGTTGTTCAGGCACAACCGGACCCTGATCTGGCTTTAAGTTATGGTAAGAGGAAGCTGCCTACTGAATTTGGCGGCCCTAATAGTTACTGTTTAGGAGGAGTTCTTGAAAACACACACACACACACACACACACACACACACACACACACACACACACACACACACACACACACTCTAATATGTATATATATTAGAACACAATAAATGTGTTCATTTAGCAAAAGAAAGATGAGCAAATGTGTGCCTATGGGGTGGGTGAGACCATTCTTTCTGACCATCTCATTATCTGCTAATTGGGATTTTGAACAAAGATTGTTTTGTTGCATGCAGGTGGCCAGTGAAAATGTCTCGATGACTGAAGAGCTGGATTTGACATAATGAAAATGCAGGAGCTTGCTAGCAGCCAGTTACCCTAATCAGATCTGTTATGTCCCCTTATGGTGCTCTGTAAATAATTAATACATTAATGATACACCTTATTGCCATAGCTGAAACACAAAGGCAGCTTGGAACTGAAAGCGGCCCCCGTGCTGAGCTCTTTTCCCTGTCTGGTGCTTGAGTGCTAGCAAACGCGTTTGTTATTGTAGGGTTGCTCATGAAAACTGGACTGGGGGCTCAGGAGCATTTGTTTTCAAAACCGTATACCCAGAACTACACATAGGTGTGCAGAAAGATGTGGAAAAGGAGATAGGCAGAGTATTAGAAAAACGACAGATGTGTGTAACTACCCAGGAGGATTGACGGATAGATAGAAAGAGCTGATCAAATTAGTGGGCCATGAAACCTTGCAAATACTGCCAATCGATGGCATTTGGTGGGTTCAGTGAAATGGAGAACTTCTTTTGCACATTTTCCATATTTAAGAATGAGACAAAGGGGTTCATCTGGCTATTAAAATCCGTGGCAGAACTCCCCTTGCTCTCCACGGGGAGTGAATCAGGACCTAGCCCGGATCCCCTCCTGAGCAGACACAGCCAGCTGGTGGGCGTTGAGACCCGGGTGGCAATGTACATGATGGTAACA